CTCAAATCTAAGAAAGGTTTAAAGTAGGTGACTCCTAGGATAAATGTACTGTTAGAATTTTTAATTAAAACTTTTGATATCATCAAGTTCACATTTATTTAAGGCAATTAAATTATAAATATCCGAGATAAAAAGTGCCTCAAATCGTCCATTGTCTCTTCCTTGGCGTTTTTTATTGATGGGAGGTGTTGAAAATCCCGGTAGTTTGGTAAGTGTGTGGATGAAATCTGCAGCAATCCAGTCTTTTGGTTGACAATACATTTCCGTTGAGAGGGAAGATGGATCATATAAAAAATTAATAAAACGTTAATCCTACTGTAATCTGATTACGCCAACGAAAAAAGCAGAAAAATCCTATGAGAATTTTTTTTATATTCGTAAGCAAACAAAACTCAAACTCACTTAGAAGATAAATTTGACGAGTTTCCGAAGTTCTTATCTGAAGTTTAAGAAAGATTTTCTTGTTATATTCACTAATTTCGTGGTCCGCTTGACCAATTAATATATTACAATTAATTAAGGTTTTCAGTTGAGATAAAAACCTTAATTTTCTTGTTATATTGAGTAACAGTAGGATTATTAGTTTATGAGATAAAGGGAACTTATGAAATAAATTTGCGCAAGGTTGAAATAATCTGAAAAGTTAAATATCCTGAATACAATTAATTAATCTTTATATAAGGCATTGGTTGAGATAAAAAAGTCAGTGTCACGAGCGGGATTTGAAGCCACGACTCTCGGCTGCTCTACCACTTGTGCTATCGTCACTTCGACCACTCGGACACTAACTTTCCATCCCAAACCACCTTTCGAATTTTCCCTCCTTTTTGCCATTTTTATATATATTTTATATATTATTTTATATTATATATATATTTTATATTATTTTGTATATATTAATCTTTATATCAATGCCTTATATAAAGATTAAATAATGGAAAAACGTTATTCGGTCAATCGAATCACGAACTCTAATGAATCTGGTATACAATTGAAAATTAGACTAGACAATAGGGACTTTTTAGTCCATATTTACAAACCTGATATGACCAACCTATACAACCTGACGTCTGTACCCAGGAGACCCTGAATAAGTTATTCAGTTATACATTTTTCAAAGAGTGAGTAAGAAAGGTAACTAGATATCTTGCAGGATGATTTTAACAAAGAAAGACAACAAAGCATTAATTATCTGACAAATATAAAACAAAAGAAAAGAAGTCACGCCTGCAGAACATTTCGGAATTCATATGTGAAAATGTGGAGAAAGGCCCGGCGTGCAAATAAATGCTCTCTAATCCTTAGCAAAGTTAACATGTCTGTCGGTATAACCTTTTTAAGAAGTGGTTATTTATAGTCTGATTTCCACCGTTTTATCAAACGGAATAATTGCTAAGAAGTAGACGTCGGAATTGCCCATTTTATAAAGTCGTGAATGCTGAAGATCCATGCTGATTTAGTCAAAAATGCTGTTAGGTCGCCTCTCTTGGAGGCGAACTTGGTTTTTGCTAAATGCAGCAGCTTATCTACGACTTATTTCTCAACGTGTTTCATGCAAACGATATCAATTGGTCTTTAGCGATTCAAATTATGCTTATCTTAATTGTAAACTTTTTTCATGTGCTTCTAAACGAGTAAACACGCAAATTATCTACGTACTTATATAGTGATAAAAAACAAACAATTTATTAAAATACTGGTTGAAATCAATGTATGAATTGCATCCTGAACTTTTTTTCTGACACAAGATGCTTAGCTTTGCCGTTTATAACCGTTATTTTTTAACCTGCGGATGAACGTGTACGAAGAAGAAACGGTGCGATCGATCATTATGAATACCGTCCAGCTAGACCCGATAAATCCAAGTTCATTGTAAAATTAATATCGCGGTTTAATTTAATAAAATTTCAAGGCGAAGGACAGCACTCACTCAGTATTCCGATCATTTTTTCGTTTATTAATTTGCTAACCGACCCGGACAGGAGAAGCCGCCGACAGTATATTTTGAAATTCAAATTATGAAAACATATCTCTTATCTTTCTTATCTGAAAGCAAAATCTATAATTTTCACATTGGATAACAACCTGGGACGTGTTAATTTCAAGTTTAGAAACTTTCGTCGCTTTTTCAGTAACGATGTTGAAACAGTACTTTGATTTCTAATATTCAAATTTACAACTTCTGGCTACTCATGATTGGATAATTCTATACTCAGCGGGTTTTGAATAAACAACACTTTAATTAAAATAAATATATAAAAAGTTAACGATAGGTGCGGTTAAAATTACAGTCGAAATTTTTTTAAAATTATTTAATAAATTAGTGATCAATAAGAATTTTAAAAACTGCATGTGAAAATACCTGCAATAAAACGAGTAGAGAAAATATATGACTAATTACATCAAATAAAACCCCATTCACTCACCTTCTCTCACTCTCTCTCTCTCTCTTTCCCTTTCTTTATCTTTCTCGGTCTCTCTTTCTCTCTCTGTCTCTCTATCTCTCCCTTTCTCTCTGTCTGTCTCTCTTTCTCTCTATTTCTCATTGCCTGTCCATCTGTCCCTGACTCTCTATCACTCTCTCTCTCTTTCTCTCTATTTCTCATTGTCTGTCCGTCTGTCTGTCTGCCTGACTTTCTAGTTCTATCGCTTTGCAGAGAGATATTTTATATATTTGTATTTTTTTGTTTTGTTTTCCTTTCGGAACCTGTTACCAGGGCATATAAAGTTTTTCTTTCTATCTTTCTCTCTGTCTCATCTCTCTCTCACTCTCTCTGTATCTCTCTCTGACACTCTCTCTCTTTCTCTCTGTCCCTCGCACACTCTCCTTCTCACTAGTCATTCACTCAGTCAATAGTCACTCCATCTAAAAATTTGGTCGCCCTATTGCTTGCTATAACTTAGATTTTTTCATCAAATCATTCCCTTTCGTTTGAGGAACTCGGTGTGTCATTATTAAATTATTTGGAATGTACAAAATCCGGACAATAAATCCGAAAGATTAGTTCGAATAATACATCACTATTTCAGCTTGGAAATAAATGTCACTCCACGTTTCGAAATTTGTACCGACTTAGGGTACTTTGAAGACCTCCAATGACGAAGAATCGCAACGGAACTCACATATATTAACGCTTAATCTCAAATTATAATTCAATCTGTCGGAATGGTACAAAATAGTCTATGTGTAGTCTGGCCCTTCAGATTTATGTCGGTACCATTTCCCTATCCTAATTAGCATGATTGAATAGAAAAGATTTCACGTTGGAACCGGTTTACTTAAAAAATCAGAATTAAACTGGGCTGTACAAATCTAAAATGCGTCTTCATTACTATTCACGGATTTGTATCGACTACCATCGGAGCCTAATGAGAAGTCGTGTGACGATGATCTGATTTCGAAAACAGAAAATCCTTCGCAACTGATTAAACCGTGCATTGATTATTACAATAATTTAATCCCGAACAAATGTCAATCATCATTCACGTTATTTTATAGTTCACTTGTTAGATGCGACAGAAAACAAAATCGGTTTTACATACATACTATTTACTGGTTGGTTCGTTCAGATTTTCATCATTAAATTATGTTAATGTGCTATATTTGTCAATGGCTTTAAGAAATTTTCATTTTTTGTTAATCTGTCTATGTGGTTACAAAGATCTTCCAACAACGTGTGTCCTTTTTGAAGATTATTAAGATTAATTTATCAATTCCAATTATAAAAATAAATTTAAAAAATAGAGCTGCCAAATATGGCAAACAAAAACCCACTCATGCACACATTATATAGGTAGATATGCTTTTATATATTATGTAAACATACTACCAGAGGCTACCAAAATGAGGACATTCAGATAGATTTCCGATAAATGAAATCGTTTCCCCCTACACATCGAGTCGACTTATTGAAAACATAAGAAAAGATAGTCATAAATGAACTTCTCAAATTGAGAGTTCTCATATTTAAATTTCAAAGTATCGTAAGGAAAAGCTTTGTTGACAGGATTGAACATTGTTTACCAACTAGGATTTAACTTTACTCAATGGAAAATCAAACCTGGCAATGTGTGGTGATTAGTGACGGTTAATCGATAATTATTCAGAAATCGTGAGATGCGGTCTGGTGTGATGTAGTTTCAGAAAAACATTTTCTTTATTGTGCCAACGTTTCGATCTTTATGGAGCCCTGAAGATGATCTCAATAAAGATCGAAACGTTGCCACGTTAAAGAAAATGTTTTTCTGAAACCTACATCACACCAGACGGCATCTCAAGATTTCTGAATAAACCTGGCAATTTTGAAATCGGCAAAGATAATGATTCAAAATTATATTTTTAAATCATTTCATAATGTTCATATTGTATATATTCATTAGAGTTCGTGGTCCGATTGACCGAATAACGTTTTTCAATTAATTAATCTTTATATAAGGTGTTGGTTGAGATAAAAAAGTTAGTGCCACGAGCGAGATTCGAACCCACGACCCTCGGCTAAATACACCGCTCACGATAGCTCAAATAGTAGAGCAACGGCGTATTTAGCCGAGTGTCGCGACTTCGAATCCCGCTTGTGGCACTGACTTTTTTATCTCAACCAATGCCTTATATAAAGATTAATTAATTGAAAAATTGTATTTATTTTTTAATGTTTTTATTATTAAGGCTACTTGGGTTATCGTTGTATTGTACGTTTTTATAAATTTAACGTTTCTCTTAGTATTTTGTATGTGTTAATATTTAATTTATCTTTTATAGTTAATTATTTGTTGTTTATGTAATAATGCAGTTCCATGTTTGGTGATGTTGACGATAATAACAAATGTGTTTAGTCGATTTAAACAACATTTAGATTAATATTTCCTAGTTGACGTCCGTTTGGTTAATGGCTGTCTTTCCCCATTTAAAATCCCACAAGAAACATTCCCAAAAATTTTCCAAGTGAAATTACTCGAACGTATACATATAAAGTGAACGACTAATAGAAATTTGGTTGCAGGTGTTATCTTTGGGAGTGACCGGTCGAGATGCTGCCTAGGTAAGCGCCAATGTCACAATTGCCCCTGTTAGTTTAATGTCCAGCAATTAGTTAGGAAAATTAGAGTGGACCACCGTGAATTTGTTAAACATGTTTAGATAGCCTCTCGGCTCCCCACTAATCACAGTGGCGACTGGCCATTATTTAATGATCGCCCGCTCTTGCCATAAATTACATGTTCCAGGCAACACGCAACCGTCAGCCCTTATTGCGAAACTTATATCTCACCTTCCTGGGTTTTTTTTTAGAAATTTGTAAAATCCGTTGCTATTTATGAAAAGATATTGCACATTCCAATAAGTAACAAGAAATAAACAATATGAAGTAGTTTTTGTACCATTCAGCAAGGAATAATTTTTTAAAATTTGATTTAAGACGCCAAACCTGACCAGGAAATACCTTGTAAAAAGGCAAACAAAAAATTTGGTTGGTCACCTTCAACAAATGACCAAAAGAATCATTTTAAGTTTGACACTGAGAACACGAGCTTGAAGTTTTTTTCTTTATTTTGGCGAATTTATTATTTTGGTTGGCTATTCGGTAGAATCGCAAATATTTTAAGTTAATTAGTGTCTGCAAATACTATCGTAATTAAATATTATAATATGGTTGTGATTTGTTATTAAATATCAAATTAATATTTATAAAAAAAATACTGAATTTGAAGTATCCTTACTATCAAAAGTGAAAATACATTTTTTCTCTTTTCATAAAAGTAAAGAAAGAAAAAGTACCATTCCCTATGTATGACCATATATACATAGGGACATTTGGAAAGCTTTTGACAAAAATTTAAATGGTAACCTAATTTCAAAAAACCACACAGGGCACCATTATCAAATCTGATTACAAAATAAAATATCACACACTTGAATTCACAAACACCAAAATTTACATAAAAATCACAACCATCAAAAGCTTGCAAAACGCAAAACACAGCCAAACATCACTCAATGCACACATAAATCTAACGAACAAAGATTAGTTAAAAACTCAACCGACTACATAATCAAATTTTACAATTAAATTAACACAATCAAAGACTTTCAAAACACAATAACCATATAATATAACCATTTAATATAACAAGCCTACATTCAGCGAGACAACGAAAGGACAATTTTTATCCAACAACATTTGTAATCCAATATCAAACATACTCGTAGAAGTATTATTATAAATCTGTAAGTACTTCCGCGAAATTACAGCAAAACACAACATGGCTTACATATACAGAAACTTAATGACACAACCATCATATTAGGGCTTCGTCCATATAAATCACATACTGACAGACGTGAAATTCTTACGCAAAAACACACAATTAAAAGTAAAACTAGATAACAATGATATAAATTTCTTTTCTATACCTAAAAAATCATAAAATCCGACAACAAATTAAAAAAACAGCGACAGATATCATACCGAATCAAATCACCCGACAAAAAAGAAAAAAAAGCCAGCATTAAAATACAAGACAGACTGAAAATAGTACCAAGAACCGAAAAATAAATAAGAAAACCATCTAAAATCAATGACCATTGCATGCAATAACGACACACAAACAGAAATGATAAAACAATAAGCAAATCTCCACACAAAACCAGACACTAAATGGACCACATTTACAAGCTAACATCCAAGCTATTCATCAAATTAGGAACAGCACTGGAGACGAAGAGAACAATAGGTAAGCCATTGGCAAAACTAAAACTCTTGATAAAAATGGCATAAACGTCATAAGATGAGAGTTGGAAGGCAAATATATCAGATAGAAAAGGCGAAAAATAAGAAAAACATATGAAAACAACATATAACATCATTTAGAAAAATGACGAAAAATCAAACTACGCGATTTGCCTTACAGAAAGTCATCAGGAAACCTTAACAATACAGACCTGCGTTCGTCTACCAAATGGCTTACAAAAAGGACAAAAAATTAACAAACTTGACAACTTGATAATATACTAATGTAGCATATTAAACACTAACAGACTCATATGCACTAAAATTAAAAAAAGTTCACATAAATCGTTTGCACCATTCAAAATACTAAATTGAAAAAGAGGCGATCACAACAATAAAAAACCCAGACATAATCCACCAAAAGCACCGACAAACAAAGACGCCTTCCACGCCTCGCGATCTTATACAATAGATTAAACTACATCGAAATTACACAGACACAACACTAAAAATGGCGAAATGCTGAAAGGCATATGTCAAACAGCTAGGATAGGCAGACCGGGATGAACGGTAACGCCCAAATTACCGTAACGAATTGTTTTATATAAAAAACTTGTATGCGATACAAAAATCATTATAAACCATTCATTTGTTAATTAGGAAAATTACTTGGTTTAGTCTGATCTGTTTATTCTATCAGAGTACCTTTTACGTCCAAACGCCTTGCTAACTTTACAAAGAAGGTTAATCATCGATGATTTACTGGTGCTGAGTATTAAGAAAACTGGATTTAGAAAACCTTACTTTGAGTATTTATTTAGGAAAAAATTTATATCCACAAATATTGAACAATTAAAATCAAATAAAAAATTAAAAATCTTGAAAAAATTAAAAGACTGAGCTCTCAATCATCTTAATTGAACTACTGTCTCGTTCTTCCACTTTCAGCCATAGTTTCTATTAAAACTATTAAACCTGTTTGCATAATGGCTGCTAATTAAATTATTATAGTTAGGCAAATTAAAGTTAATTTATTTGTTGTTAATTTAAATCAGACACAATAAGAACATTTTCTTGCGAAAATTACAAATATCAATTGTTTGATCTACGGGTTCAGAAGAAAATAAGTACTATACCAATTAATTATTCTTTTTATCTAAGGTTTTTGGTTGAGATGAAAAATTAGTCTCACGAGCGGGAACCCAACCAAAAGCCTTAGATAAATAATAATAATATTAATAATATATAATATTAATAAATGATAATAATAACTTAATAAAATAATATAAAAAGCCTTAGAATAAATAATTGGAATAATTATTATGGTCAATTATCATCATTAAGCCAATATGGATAAATACTATACTTGAATTGTGAAGCAATTTATTATTCTTTTAGGAAAAAAATTAAGAAGAAGAACTATTTGAGACTTGTTAAAGAGTCTTCCCTTTTTTAATTCTTGCAATTTGGGTTGAATTTGTCTGTATAGTTTCCATTTTATCATTTTTAACATGTCTCTTTCAGCGTGAAGAGATTTTCCACCTAGTTGGAAATAGGGTAGCTTGAAAAATTAACAGGCAATTAAACAAAGTGGGCCGACAGCGTCGATTTGGTGTTGATAGAGCTTGAAAAAAGATTAATTACTCTGTTGAGACTATGTTTTGCTTTCCTCATCGTCTGTCCCGAGGGCTGAATGATATATGATGCTTGGCAAGCGCCCCAAGTTGCAGCCGGTGCCAATCCCGCTCCCGTCCAGATACGGTGCGATACTCTTCGTCCATTAACAAAACAATTACCCGAAAACAATGGCTCCTTGACAAATAACTATCATCCGCCGGTTACAATAGCCCGGAGCTTTATTGTACATAATTAGACGAACAGGCTCAGACGTTGTACAATATAATCTGAACCGCCCGTAAGGCACTGCTTATACCTCCCACGTCTCACCTCCGATAACGTACGTTCCAGACAATCAGCTTGTTCCATTTAAACGAGATTTCATCCACTGATAGTGCACCATTGTGAAACATAATTCTATTCACTACAGATTTTCCCTATCTTATGTCGCAAGAACAATGAATCACGAATGTAATATAATTCCAAAATCATCAAATCTGAAATTCTCAATCTATCGTGGGAAATACACGTAAGAACGTGTAACTATTTCTATAAAGATATTTTAGAATCGATAACTACATGTTACTTGCTGGTTTTTTATTATTCCTTGTAACATTTACTATTATATTTGCTTTCAATTTTTTGTTTTATTTAACCAAAAAATTAATATCATGGAATACATAAAACAAATACCATATAGAAAAAATAATAAGAATTCATAGATTTCAAAAAAATTAAAAAACATCCATGATATTTTTGTTGTGTATCAATTAAAAAAAATTCGATAATAAAATATTTTAAACAAGAGCAGTTCGTAAACCCCTTCACAGTATAGGAAATCTAAGGCCTTGTACTATTACGTTTGCTGACATTTTTTCTATAGTATTTTTTCTATTACAAAAAATTAATGTCCTACAATATATCAAACATAAACTGAATTGCATATAGAAAAAATACATAACATTATAGAAGTTTTAAAAAATACGAAATTGATATTTTGTATTAATTGAAAGAATTGGATAGTAAAATATTTTATGGATGAGCAGTTTGAAATAACCATGGCAGTACGATACTTAAAATTTTGAATTTATACCTAGCCATGTACCATTATGTTTGCTGACATTTTTTACTATTTAACCAAAAAAATAATATCCTACAATATATCTAACATAAAACAAATTTCATATAGGAAAAATACATAACATTTTAGATTTTTTTTAATACCCACGAAATTGATGTTCTATATTAATTAAAATAATTGGATAGTAAAATATTTTATAGAAGAGCAGTTTGTAATAACAATGACGGTCCGATACTTGCAAATTTGAATTTATGCCTGGCCTTGTATATTTTATAAACTTTAAAAATTATCCATGATTTTGATGTTTTGTATCAATTAAAAGAATTCAATAATAAAATATTTTATACAAGAACAGGTTGTAAAAACCTTGACGATTTTTATACTTGGAATTTGAAATCCTAGCCTTGTCCTATTATATTTTCTCCCATTTTTTTATTTAATCCCAAAAATTTATATCATGCGTATATTAAACATAGTAAAAATTTCATATAGGGAATATACACAATATTTTATATATTAAAAAAATGTAAGCTTGATATTGATATTTTATAACAATTAAAATAATTCAATACTAAAATATTTTATTCAAGAGCAGGTAACAATTTTGAATCTTTAC